CCCAAAAAAAAAAAAAAAAAAAAAAAAAAAATCTAAGAAAAAACGAATGGCTCACTGTGCCTAACCTGTTTATGGAAACAATATGGTTTATGCTGAATACCTGCTTTCTTGCTGGAAGTCTTGAATTTTGGTTTGTGCTAGGCAGAGGGTGCTTATGTGACCTGTCCCCAGTAAAACCCTAGGCAATGAGTCTCTAATGGGTTTCCTTGGTAGACAATATTTCATACAACTTGATGGGGTTCCCACTGAAAATCAAAGCTTTATTGGTCAAGATTGGAGGTTGCTAGAGCCCAAACTCACTATTCTGAACACTAATAAAGGGGAAGAACCAAGCATTTATCCTGCCTTTTACTATGAACAGTATTTCAGAGTAACCATATAGGGATGAGGAAAAGGTCTTCTTCATTGAAGAATTCCAGCTAATAAAGGCCGAAGGAAATAATGGATCTAAGCCATGATCAGTGGATGCTAAAACCATTTAGGTGAAAGAGTTATAAAATGAAGATTTTATAACAGAGGGATCAGCTATTATCACCTGAACCCACAGATATCTTAGAATCTCTGTGTGACAACCAGACACCAAGTGCTGACTGATGACATGGAATAAAGTACACAGCACTAGCTATGAGGTGCTCTCACTAAATAACTTGATCTGAATCGAATCAAGCCTCTAAACTGAATTTCTTGTTGATAGGAGATATGGGGAACAAGGAAACATGTCAAATGACACCACAGAGAAGCAATCAGCCAAATCCTGGATGTGGATGTGGCAGATGACAATGACCTGCTTTCTCCAGCAAACCAAGGTCGTGAGAAAAGTGGGAGTGGGGTGGTGGAAGGAGGGTACAGAGCTACAGAATACAGAGACCTATAGAACAAGAGTCAAAACAACAAGAAAGCCAATCTGATCGTGTCACTCTCTTCCTTAAAACCCCTGGGGACCCGCCACTCCTCTGGCTGTTCTCATCGTGTCCTTTCTGTGCTCTGGCCACAGTCACCTGCATTCAGTTCCTAGACCATTCCTTCATTCCTCGGGTCCTTACACACACAGTTCCCTCTCCCTGGGGGAGGGGGAACAACCCAGCCCCTGCCCTGGTGTAAGATTAGGTCCTTCCCCCTTGTTATACACCTTCACGGTACTCTGTACTTCTCAGGGAAACGTGTATTTGTTTCATATCTGCCCTTCTCCCAAAGACTAGAAGTTCCTTGAGGGCACACACCACATCTTTCAGCAGAGTCTGACACACAATAAGTATGTGCTAAATAAAAATCTGCTTAGCTCACATGTGAACAAATAAGGTATGAACCATATGGCCCAATGCCACCAGGTGGGAATTTAGGGACACTCTAAATCAATAAAGCCCCGCGTAATCCCTGCTAGTCTTCATTGCTGTGATATCTATTTTCAGTACCTAGAACCCAGTCTGAGGAGCGGAGGCTCACAGGGAAGGACTCACCGCCTCGTGGGACTTGGGAATGGGTACAATGATGGCCAGTACACAGATGAGCTGGAAGATGGCCCCCAGGAAGAGTCCATATCGCAGCAGGTTCTCCAGGAATGTGGGTTCAGGCACCTCGGGAGGGGAGAAGTCCAGGTCGGAGGCCATGGCCCCAGCTGCCTGCTGCCTGAGGTCCCCTCCGATTCACCACTCTCCAGAGTCAACTTCTAAATGCAAAGAGTTAATGTCATGTTTCTACAACTGACGTTTAAATGGTTTCACTTCCACAAACACACCCACATACATGCAAGAATATATAAAGCAATTGCAATGAAATGTTAACATGGAGAGTCATTGGACCATTCTTTCAACTTTTTTGTATGTTTGAAATTTTTCCAAAAATGAAGTTACAGGAGATAAATAAATAAATGCAAACATTTCAACAAAAATCTCAAATCAACATACATTTGCTGAAGGCCTGCTCTGTTTCAGGTTTTATTTATTTGTTCATTTATACATCCAGTCATTCATTCAACAAATACTTATTGAACACCAAGCACTGAAGAGTAAAACAGACAAATCCCTGCTCTCTCGGGGCCTACCTCTCAGAACAGAGGCGGACAAAGAATACCTCCAGATGGGACATGCCATCTAGTGATAACTGTTTTGAAAAAAGCTTCAGAAGGGCATCATTTTATTTTGTATAGGGTGACAGGAAGGGCCTCTCTGAAGAAGAGACAGGAATGAAGTGACAGAGATAGGAAGTATGAGACTGACCCAGTGGAGAATCTCAGGGAAGCATATTCCAGGCAGAGAGAAAAGCAAGTGTAGAGGCCTCAGGGCAGGGATATGAGTCCAAAATGGTCAGAGGGGCGTACCGCAGGGAGAGTAGAAGAAGGTGAGATCAGAAGGAGTGGCGACTGACCTTGCAGGACCCTAACACTTCTGATTTGATTGAGCAAAATGTAAAGCCACAGAAGGGTTTTGGGCAGAAAAGTGACATAATCTGATTTACACTTTTTTTTTTTGGCCACACCACATGGCTTGTGGGATCTTAGTTCCCCGACCAGGGACCGAACCCGGGCCCCTGGCAGTGGAAGCAGAGTCCTAACCACTGGACCACCGGGGAATCCCTGATTTACATTTTAAAGGGGGTGGGGGTGTGCAGAGTGGACATAGGGAGACCAGTGAGGGAGCTACTACCAGTAACCCAAATAAGAGATGCTTGGAACATGGACGACAGGGGCAGTGGTGGCAGGTCCGGTCTCAACCCACCTCTCTAGTCTCTCACTTCACCAGAGTCTCCCACTCCTAATACCCTGGTCGAGCTGAAAGACCTGCCTGTAATTTTCCAAGAGCACTGAGCTCTTTCAAATCCTGGGCCTCTACCCAAGTGGCACACTCTGCCAAGAATGCCCTTTCCCATTATGACTGCTTGGCGAAGCCCCTACTCTACCTCCAAGGCTGAGCTCATGCCCCCCCTCCCCAGCATGTCTTTCTTACTGCCCTCCTCCTACCCTGGTAGGACTGAACTGCTCCCCCTCTACCACAGCACCCACGAGTGGCTTCCTTTAGCCCACCCCAGTGAGAAAGGGGAAAACTTACTTGAGAACCAGGCCCACCTGACTCCAAAGCCCTTTGTGTTTTCAGGGATGTGTGCCACAAGGCAACTTTCCACTAAATCTGAGCTGTCCAATATGGTGGCCCTGAGCCACATGTGGCTATGGAGAGTTGAAACACAGCTAGTCCAAACTGAGATGGCTGTTCAGTTAGGTCCACACTCAATTTAGAAGGTAGTATAAACATAAGAATGTATCAATAGGGCTTCCCTGGTGGCGCAGTGGTTAAGAATCCGCCTGCCAATGCAGGGGAACAGGTTCGAGCCCTGGACTGGGAAGATCCCACATGCCATGGAGCAACTAAGCCCGTGCACTGCAACTACTGAGCCTGCAATCTATAGCCGGCATGCCACAACTACTGAAGCCCACACGCCTAGAGCCCATGCTCCGCAAAAAGAGAAGCCACTGCAATGAGAAGCCTGTGCACTGCAATGAAGAGTAGCCCCTGCTCGCCACAAATACAGAAAGCCTGTGTGTGGCAACAAAGACCCAACACAGCCAAAAATAAATAAAAATAAATTAATTTTTTAAAAAAAGAACATATCAATAAAATATCTCATTAACAGTGTTTTATACTAACTGCATGTTGAAATAATATACTGGGTTAAATAAATTATTAATTTCATCTGATGCTAAAAAAGAACTAAGCTGGAGGATTCATTTTCTGATTTCAAAACTTAGTATAAAGCTACAATAATCAAAACAGTGTGGTAGTGGCATAAGGATCTAGGCCAATGGAATGGAATGAAGAGCCCAGAAGTAAATCCTCACATATACAGTCAACTGATTTCTGAACAAGGGTGCCAAGACCATCCAATGGGGAAGGATAGTCTTGTCAAGAAATAGTGCTGGGAAAATTGGATATCCACATGCAAAAGAATGAACTGAACCCTTATCTTACACCGTATACAAAAATTAACTCAAAATGGATCAAAGAACTAAACTTAAGAGCTAAAACTATTAAACTTATAGAAGAAAACATAGGAGGAGTCTTCACGACATTGGATTTGGCGATGACTTCTTAGATGTGACACCAAACCACAGGCAACAAAAGAAAAAATAAATTGGACTTCATCAGAATTAAAAACTTTTGTGCATCGAAGAGCACTATCAAGACAGTGAAAAGACATACTGGAAAACAGTGTGGCAATTTCTAAAAAAGTTAAATGTAGAATTACCATATGACCCAGCAATTCCACCCCTAGGTATATACCCAACAGAACTGAAAGCATGGACTCAGATACTTGTACACCAATGTTCACAGCTACACTATTCACAATAGCCAGAAGATGGAAACAACCAAGAGTCTATCAACAGATGAATGGATAAACAAAATGTGGTATAGACAAAGGACATTCAGCTACTAAAATGAATGAAATTCTGATACATGCTACATGGATGAACCTTGAAAACATGCTAAATGAAATAAGCCTGACAGAAAAGGACAAGTATTGTATGATCCCACTCATTAGGTACCTAGAATTGGTAAATTCGTAGACACAGAAACTAGAACATAGGTTACAGGGGCTGGAGGAGGGGCAATAGGGAGTCATTGTTTAATGAGTACAGAGTTTCAGTCTGGAATGATGAAAAAGTTCTGGAAACAGTGGTGATGGTTACACACAGTGTACACTTAAAAATGGTTAAAATGGTAAATTTTATGTTATGGATATTTACCACGCACACACACAAATTGTACCTGTTTCTTTTTACTTTCTAAATGTGGCTACTAGAAAATTTTAAATTACACGCATGGCCTGCATTATATTCCTATGGATGGATCTGGGTTAAGAGACTATTCTAAAACCTTCCTCCATTTTGGCTCTGCAGCTTCACTGCTTTGCAACATTTTTCCAACATGAAGGAGGAGTGACTAAAGGATGACAAAAACAACCTTCCAAGTGAACAGACTGGGGTTTGTGCAAATGCGCATTTGTCTACCTTTCAACCTAGTCACTTAGGAAGGTGATGTGCCCGAGCTGACAAGCTGGCCACTGTTTCCCACCACTTCTGTCTCCTTTGTGAATGGCTTTCAAAGCCTGAGGCTCACTTCTTCCCCCCCCACCCAAAATTCTCAGAGCTGGCAGATCTTCATCCTCCCAGGAAGGATTTGATTTCTGGAAGGAATCCAACATCATCTGGATCCAAGTGTGGTGAATCAGGTGGAGCCTCAAGCCCAGGAATACCATTTTTGGTCAAATACAAGGTTATGACGCTCAGACCCTAGGCAGATTGTTTGGGGTGGCTCAGAAACTGGCCCTGAAGTGAATTCCAAGGCTGTTGCAAGAACAGCTTTACTGGAGGAAACGTACAGCCCAGACAGGACACTATATCCTTATACCATGTGAATAGCAAGGTATAAAAAAGTTCTCTCATTTCTTCACAGTTACACCTCATAAATATACACTTTTTTAAAATGCCCTTGGCCCTAAACTTTACATTTAAGGCTGTAACAAGCCTAGTGGGCTTATCAATACTTAGATTTATTAGTGCTACTCACAGCAACATTGTTAAGAATATTTGTAGTACAATAAAAACATGGGGCCAAGAGTGGGGGCGGGCACAAACCCTGCTTCTATCAGCAATTAGCTACACTTTGGGCCAATCTCTTGACCTCCTACAGACTTGATGTTCTCAGGAGCCAAACAACAACAATAATATCTATTCAAAGCTATAATGCATTTAGGCATTTTTTTTTTTAATGGCAATTAGGCAATATAACAAGAGCCATAAAAGTGATTATATCCTTTGACTGAATAACTCACTTCCTAGAATCTACAGTAAGGAAACAATTCAAAAGAAGAAAAAGCCTACAGGTAAAAAAAGTTCATGGCAGTGCTATTCATAATACTGAAAAGCAGGAAGCAACTAAAGTGTCCAACAATAAAGAAGTGCTTAACCCGGGCTTCCCTGGTGGCGCAGTGGTTGAGAGTCCGCCTGCTGATGCAGGGGACACGGG